TAAAATGTGCACCACGCTTCCACGAATACCTAAGCTTTTCTTAGTACTATGAACATTCGAACCAACTGGGAGTAAAGACAAATATTTATCCTTCAGGAAGGCGATGTAGACAAATAAGAGGAGGAGATTTGTCACGTTTCGAATATCCGAATTATATTGTAGGAAATATAGTAGAACTACAAAGAACACAACGGAGCATTTATGCTGTGGCATCCTGTAATAGAGGGTGTTAGAAAAGTATCTGCCCAAATTGCAAGAAGTAATTTGTTCGGTAATTGAAGGACGAAAATTTAATACAATGCTTTTTAAAAAAGAGGAGGGCGTTCCTATTCTACGGACTACAGCTTGACGGGTTTCCACATGTAACGCGTCTCTAGGATTGCCTGAATAATGCGAGTGAAATTGGATATATTGAAATTTTATAAGATCTAGATGGCTGGCGGATTTGTATCGAAAATATCAACTTTAAGCTTTTTTTTCTATGGGCTACAGCTAGAGAGGTTTGATGAATTTTGAAATATGGTGTAACTATACAATGTCTCGACTATGCGAGTGACACAGAGTATAACAAAATCAAAATGGTGGATTTTAATTAAAAAAGAATAAATTGATTTAACAAATTCACGGGCTACATCTCGAACGGGTTGATGGATTTTGACGTGACTTGAAAGTGCGAATAACTCTGGGTGTACTAAAATTCTAGAAAATAAAAAAGGCGTATTTAAAGGCAATCTTCAGCTTTGCGGTTTCTATTTCACGGGCTACAGTCCAATCAGCTTAATGGATTTTGACATTTGAGGTGTCCCTAGATTCATCGTGATAGCATAATTGATTCTTCATTCGTTTAAGTTGATGGAGTTGGATTGTTTGTATTTTAAAAAATGTACATATCTCTTTCTTTATGGACCTAAGCGTCTGGCGGGGGCAGTACATTTCAGATCTCGCAAGGTAATTCTCACGGATGTTTTGAAAACAAATGGTGGATGGGCGTCACCTTCGAGCATAGTGGTCATGTAATGATTTTGAAGCTCCTTAAAACGGTAGAGTATATTTCATCTTCCCACATGGAGGATTGGCCGGTTGTCAAAGCTGAGCGCCTTTGCACATTGAATCGCTTATTGTAACTCAACAAGTAATCGTCAATACGTTATAGTATATCGTCAATATTCTCCTCTAACAATCTATCTGAATATGTAATATAATATGGAACATTTTATTCAAAAAGGTTATAGAAACCTATTCTTTAAACATAATGTTTCATATTCTGTTGTACACTTAGATAGATCCTTGTAAAAGAATATTAATATCACTTTCCATAATCACTTGTCGCCCATCTTTGACAGCTCTTCAGTCTACCGATTTAAAAAATAGTAATTACAGGGGTATGAAGTGTACATGAGGAGCTACAGTACGACGTGATAAGTGATCGAGCATTCTATTTAAAAAATATTTCAAAATGACGCAAAATCATTTTCAAATTTTTCGCTGCTCTTGCCTGTGGCAGTGTTCAAAGCTTATAGTTTTATATGTAGAATACTGGTACATTAAATAAAAATATAATCCAACGGAACAGAATGTCTCTAACCTGATAAGATAGCATTTTCAGCAAGTTTTGAGTAACGTAGCCGTTCAAGAAACGGTACCGTATATGGTCTCATCTTATTTATTTTACCTATACCACTGGAGGTGTCAGGCTTCTAGGTGAGACATCGGAGCATGTGACCTGTCTTCAATACAAGTTTTTCTGTTGGTGTTATAAAAACGGGTGACATCAATTTCAAGCAACAGTATGCAGGTTTTGCTTCAGACTTGGGCACAGTGCAACGGAAGCTCTTGCTACAGGGGTCTACGGAGATCGTGTTTTGTCAAGAGCTCAGGATTTTCAGTGGTTTAAGGCATTTTCAGAAGGAAGAGAGTCGATTGAAGATGAACCTCGAAGCGGAAGGCTTCATCTTCAAGAACCGATGAAAATATCGACAGAACCTTTTGTGTTCATATCGTCGGCTGACAGTCAGAATGATCAGGGAAAAGTTAAATTTGACTCACATCACCATCCATCAGATCGAAAATAACTGAATGATGTATCACGATAATGCTCCTTGTCACACAACAATGTCAATAATCGAGTTTTTGGTCAATAAAAACATTCCTGTGGCTCGTCTGCTTCCTTATTCGTCTGACTCGAGTTCTTGTGACTTTTTTCTCTTCTCGAAGTTTGAAAATTACTTCAAAGGAACTCATTTTTTGACTGACAAAAACATTCAACCTGCTGCAACTGAAGGCTATTCCAGTATCAGAGTTCCAGCACTGCTATTAGGAGTGGAAGAATCGTCTCCAGCGTTGTGTGGCTTCAGAAGCAAGTCATTTGGAGGGTGATAATATAAAATTGTAATCATATTGAAATAACTCAATCTCGTCACTTGAATTACAGACCCGTACTAAAAGTCCTCGGCTGTGGGAGGTTAACCGACAGTAGGGAGAGGTGAACGGTTTATACAGGTTGTATTTACAGGTTTTTGCATGTGGCTCGTAAACTATTCATAATATATTCATAGTTCCTCGTAAATTAAAATCTGAATAAATTCACAACAAATTATGTCATCCATTTTTACTATATGATCAGCTACAGGGTATCTTAGTTGATAAAAATTAAACAATTATACATTTAAAAATACAATAATGAATTTTCGATTGTGTTAGCAAGCTTCCTCAAGCGCCACAGTCAAACAAGCCGTTTGGCTGGTAATCCGTGAAGTAGACATTTCAAAGTTGAAGTTTATAATCTGCTATTTCGGTTTTATGAAATTTTGATATACCCAAAATCAGGCAGGTCGCTTAAGTTGCTGCGTGAGAAATTGAAATGTCCATTTCACGGGTTAGAGGCTAAACGGCTTGATAGATTTTCACATTCGAGGTGTGCTTAGATTTTTCCTGATTGCGCAAATAAAAATTCATTGTTTTAGGTTACTGTAGGTGGGCTATTTGTAACTTTTGCAAAGGCATTTGTTTTATTTTTATCAACTAAGATACTATGCAGCTCTTCAAGTATTGATCCTGTAGTAAAACTGGATATTAGATAACTTGTCGAAAATTTAGTGTAGAATTCTATCAATGTAAAAGGAATATGCATGCAAAACCTTAAAAAAGACCGTTCCCTCTTCTCCCGCAGCAGGACCACCTCTTACAGTTGGTATTATTTTGAGAGTTGGTAACACTTTCGGTGTGAGCAATGGATCGTTTTAATCTTGAACAAGGGTGAGAAATATTGAAAAACCATTTTCAAAGTGAATGCTGTGTTTCAGAAACTGCGAAAATTGAGAAGACTATCCGTCCGCGACTTTTTTTTCGAATTAAGCAGCTAAAAATACTTTTTTGTCTCCTGAGTTCTTCTTTCATATCTCGCAGATAAAAAATAGAAGGCACTTTATTGCATGTCCCTGGGACAATGACATAAAGCATTAAAACCACCAAACTGATTAACCAATTAACATTAAGCGAAAGCACTCTCTTGAATTTTTTGGCAAATATTTAAGACTAATTTTTATAAAACAAAATAGCATAGAATTATCACACAACATTTTATTTATCGAATAGCTCAAGGCAATTATAGAGCGGCTAGGCGCATTTATCAATAAAGGTACGCTCATCGCATTATACCAAATAAACAAACATTCCTGGAGAATACATGAAAGGCTGTGCTAATTACGCACTTTTCAAATGTCAGCTGCTGTAATTAGGGGAGCTGCCACAATAAGATCAGTGGAGATGGGGGAAGCAGCTTTACATGAAGTTGAGCGTAGCAACGATACAAGTACATGCAAAATTGCAAAACAATTAAACATCTCTCACTCTACTGTATGGCAGATTTTAAACAAATATCAACTGTCTCCTTACCACATACAGCATGTTCAAGAACTCTTGAACATGCTGTACTTTACCTGTCGATTTTCCCCAACGAGTCGTTTATTATACTTGTGTTTTGCCCGAAATTCAATTATGAACTTCCACAATGATTATTTCTGGGCTGAAAAAATCCCCATTAAGTTTTCCGTAAACGTTTGGATTGGTATTGCAGGTGATTATCTCATTGGAGATCATTTTATACCCCCGAGATAGAATGGTCAAGAGTATAGTCATTCTTTGTAATTTATTTTAGCTACTAGAAAATGTCCAGCTGGAAGTAAGAGGAGCAATAAGGCTTATGCACGATTAGGCTCCACCTCACTTCAGCATAGTAGCTCGCCAATTTTTTGATGCAACTTTTGGAGAAAACTGGATCGGTCACGAAGGTCCACAGTCATGGCCACTCTAGGTCACCGGATTTAAATCCGTTAGATTTATTTCTTTGGAGGCTTGTAAAGTCCCTCGATAACAAAGCTCCAGTCAACACTGAATAAGAATTAACCCAACGGATACGATAATCATGTGATCAGATAAGACGTACGCCGGGAATATTTCAACGAGTTTGGCAATCAATGTTAAGATGAGCTAACGCTTGAATCGAGGTTGAACGAGGGCATTTTTAGCAGCTATTATAAGTCTCGTGTTAAATGTTTTCATTGAAATAAGAATTTCAGTGTGGTTTTAAAAAGACGCCACTGGAAAAACATTGCAACAATAAATAACGTTATGTAAATATTTTATGTTTATTTTATTTATCGAAAGCCGGTACAATCTGAGCAAAAATATCCAAAGTCGACTTTCGTGTAATTTAATTATCAAAAACATGCAATAAAGTGCTTTTTATTTTTTATCTCGCAAACGAAGCGAGATATGGCAGAAACTCAGGAGACAAAAAGTATCTTTAGCTGCTTATTTCGAAAAAACATAAAAAATAAAAATAGTCACTGGCACACAAATACTTTCACTATACCGCATTGACATAACGCTCTGCTCTCTGAATCAAAACGCCATAATAACTCAGTAGGTATGATCATCTACGTCACCAGGCGGTATACTCCTAATAAGAAATAAGAAATACTTTGAGTACTTGAAATACATTATATAATTTGCTTACCACCAACGTATGAAAGTATAATCCACTCTACTAAGGACGGTTTAGCACCACGACGAGTTGCCAACTCTTCATCTTCTTCTTGCAAACCAAGAAAGGACTGCAGAAACTGCCGCTGCGACGCCAAAATTAACATAACTGAAAAGAAGGTATTTTCTGTTTATTACTATGATCAGTTATGTATCGTTATTAACACATTTAGTACAGACGTGATATACTATAAGAGAAAGGGGGCGTTATTCAGGTAGGCCGCTCCGCCATACAACAACCAACAGTGCGTGGGCGAAAGATTATGGGTTTATTAACACAGGCTTTTAAATTCCATCACTGGGTTATGGATTATGGTTGGCGGCCCTGAATGCTATTATCAAAAAAAACTATCACTTTAATTACGAAATTTATCAGAGCGATTCATATCAAAGTTTTTTCAATCCAACGTCTTGTATTACTACATATTTGGATTCCTTGGACAATTTCATTCTGAGTTTATGAATCACACTTGGCCTAAATGTATACTAAGTGACATATAAATCCGAACACCCAGTTTAAATGGTTTTATTTTAATAAAAGTTGGTGAATGTATTTATCTTACTGTAAATATCAAGTGAAAAAATGTTCAGCCTTATCAGTTGTACATTCCGGTTTTTATACTGCTTTTTTTTAATTCACTAACGCTCTAAAAATGAATATTTCAGCCGCAGTAAAGAATCAACGTTGGCGGATTTTGGTTCTTGACATCCTTTACGATCGGTTACGATGCCTAGAGTACGGAGACCTGTACGATTTCGTCAACTTAGTGAGTTTGATAGGGGCCGTATAGTGGGACTTCGGGAAGCTGAACTTTCTTTTCGGGCAATTGCAGTTAGAGTGCAAAGAAGTGTAGACACTGTGGTTAGGTGTTGTCAGGCATGGCTTCGAGAAGGCCGTACGCAAAGAGCAAGGGGCACTGGACGCCGCCGTAGAACAACAGACCGTGAAGATCGCCGCCTAAGATTATTGGCCTTAAGGGACCGTTTCTCCACTACCAGGTCCATTGCAAATGAATGGTTTGCAGAACACGGAAGACCTATTGGCATGCGAAGTGTTTACCGACGAATGAGAAGTTTTGGCTTGTTTTCATACCGGCCACACTGGATCCTCCCTTTAACTCGAGAACACCGACGCTATCGCCTTGAGTGGTGCAGATAACGGTCACTCTGGGATCAGGAATGGAACAGTATTGTCTTTAGTGACGAGTCTAGATTTTGTTTAGGCATGCACGATGGTCGCGCCAGGGTTAGAAGGCGACGTGGTGAAAGGAGGAATCCACAGTTTTTTGTTGAAAGACATGTTCATCACACTGTTGGAGTTATGGTTTGGGGTGCTATAGCTTATGGTTCCAGGTCACCTTTAATCTTCATCAGAGGTAACATGAACACGCAACGTTATATCCATGAAGTTCTAGAACCCCATCTTTTACCCTATCTTGACACCCTGGCAGATCCAACTTTCCAACAAGATAATGCCCGCCACATGTTGCAAGAGTCACAATAGACTTCTTTCAACATAATGATGTCACATTGTTACCATAGTCATCAAGATCTCCGGACTTATCCCCAATTGAGCACGTGTGGGATATGATGGGTAGGAGATTGCTCAATTTGCAACGTCCTCCTCAGACTCTAGAAACACTTCGAGAGGAGTTGGTGGTTGCCTGGAATGAAATACCACAGGAGGACATTGACCACCTGATCAGAAGCATGCCTAGGCGCGTTGGAGAATGCGTAGCACATCAGGGTGCATCCACACATTATTAAAGGTCAAACGGCTTTAAAGCAGTGCAATCATTTTGAAATTTTTATCATTTACTTACTATGCTTCATTAAGTACATATACAAAATTTTATTAAAATGAAACCATTCAAACTGGGTGTTCGGATTTATATGTCACTTAGTATATGTATGTAACAAAATCTTGGAGCATAATGTTCACCAATTTTCAGATGTTTGATTAATTTGACACTTCGCACACGTATCAAGGACCGATGCCAATGAAATAATTTGATAACAGTTTTCCATTATCCTTATTAGGTTCGCCAGGATTGATAAATTCGTTTATAGATCCTCTTTAGGGGAGTAAGAGAGGTAGAACTAGCGCGCGATCTGCGCATGCGTGCAGTTTCGGACCTACTCTTTGTTGGTTAGGGCACCCGGCACAGCACAACGAAGGCAGATACTTTTTCAAGGTAGTTCATTCTCACCTTGCTCAGTGAAAATGTTGCCATTAATCCTGAGTGAAGCTTCAACCGTCCACAAGATGCAGTCATTTATCTAGGCTCGCGACTGTTTGCCGCTGGACAAGTTTATGTAGCTCTTAGTCGTGTAAGACCTTTAGATGGTATTCGGATTGAAGAACTTGATTGCTCTAAGTTATAAGGAAAAATCCCTTGCAACAGTGAAGCTTTAAATGAAATGATTAAATTACGAAATGATTCGTAAGACATTTCAATACCACATGTCCACAAAAAACTAATTGATAAATTGGACTAAACATGAAAAATAAATAATAGTTTAAAAAAACTGAAAAACACGCTTTTATAGCAAACCGAGCTAAAAAGTAGAAAATATTTTTTAATTACAGTTTATTATATTATTATATTATACAGAATGTAAAGGTAGTAGTGGATCAACGGAAGTCAGATGATAGAGGGCGACAAAACCTATCGAATGAACCCGTATATGTGTGGTCCGAAGTTTTATAGTTCAGGAGATATTTGCAATTTGGTGAAATTTCGGAAAAAAACGGGATAATCAACTTTCAATAGCAATTACAACTAAACCATTAGGCTTAGGGCTACGTTTTTTTCTGAGGTGAGCAAATGGTTATTTTTAGCCATGGTTATGTCACTTTTTAACAGAGCTTATAAGAAGACAACGCAAAAAATCTTAAATTGGTTTTTTTGTGAAAAATTCCTTCCATCCCTCAACTTTGGAGGGCGGTAAAAAAATGAGGTTGTATTTTTTTATTCATTTCATTGTAAAAACTACTAAAATCCATGTAGAACAGAATTGTGGAAGATAATTTAATTTGACTAACTTTTAAGGAACATGTTCGAAATGGCCTCCATTATTTTTTGTACGCAAGCGACACCTTCTAATACAATTGACCTTGAAATGAATTTGCGTTTTCCATAATTTTTATTTTTGATTCATCAATTTTTTGGCGCAGGTGGTTGACATTTGTATATTTAAATGTATAGATTATCCCCTTATAAAACCTCCATATAAAAAAATATAGAGGATTTAAATCGGGTGACCTTGGAGGATATCGTATGTGTCCACCTCTACCTATACAACGGAAAGGCACTGTGTGAGTAATGCAGTAGATCCCGTGCAAAGTGGCATGGGGCACCGTCGCATTGAAAATACATGCGGCTTCGAATGTCCAAAGATACATCCTCTAGCAGCTCATGCAAACTGCTTTGTATAAAAGCAAGATATGACTGACCATTCAACCTGGCAGGCAATTCATATGGTCCAATTAATTTTTTGTTGAATTCTCCAGCCCATAAATTGACGCCGAACTGACGTTGAAAGCTGTGTCGGCGACTAGCGTGTCGATTTTCCACGCTCCACGAATGGAAATTGTGAATGTTGAATATTCCATTTCAGTTAAAGTTGGATTCATCTGTCCATGAGATGCTGTAGAAAAAAGTTTCATCCTCTTCGCACCTTCTCAACATATTCTCACAAAATTCAACCCATTGGGCGTAGGCGTTTGGAATCAATTCTTGTACTTTTTGTAGATGGTAAGGATGCATGTTTTCCGAGCGTAGTAATGTGTGCACTGAAGCATGGGATATGTTTCTGCTTCGGGCAATGGCTCTAGTGCTTATACAGGGATCTCTCTCGGCTGCTTCTATTAGGTATATCTTCTATTGCTTCTGGGCGTATCCTCGGCGCTCCTAGCTGACGATGAGTGCCCGGTATGCGGCCCTCCATATGTATACGCATTATGGACGCGTAGAAAAACGCGGTAGTCGGGATATACCACCGGTTGTGGTCCACCCCTTCTAACTACATACTCCCGGTACATGCGAGTAGCTGCTCGACCATTACACCATAATAGTAATGCATTTCTGCATAATCTTGCGTAGAATATGACATGATTCTACTCAGATGACAAACGTTAGATACAAATTCCGCGCTGGACTATTGCCTGACTAATTTTTTGAATGTCCAAGCTCATTAAGGTGATTTGGCTATTTGCGTAAAAAATCCGCCATTTTGATCTTACAAAATGATAATACACTCAGTATCACTCGCATTGCTACGACGAATCTGACAGTACCTCATATGTCAAAATCCATCAAGTCGTTTGGACTTTTATTGCATATTTGGATAAACTAATTCAAAAGAAGAAGATTGATGTAACATACTATGGGGTTTTGGTAGCTACTCAGATGTAAGGTGTTTTGTCCAGAAAAACCGTCCACATTAGCAACCTCTCAATCCGCTATTTTGAAATTTGGAGTCCTGAATTTTGTATCATTAAAAACTTACGCACCTCAGCTTTTATCATATTTGTTACTTTTTTGAATTTTCATTTTTGATCATACAGGGTGGTCAAAAACGCGAATTGTACTTTTTCACAAAAATTTCAAATGCTTGGATTCAATTTTTTATAAGCTTTTTTTTTGGTACGAGGTTTGAGTCAGATAAAATCACTAGATTTTGAGTTATTCAGCTTTTAATAGAACAAACAACACTTCAAAATTAAGAAAAAAAATCTCATCATCCATGGAAACAAAAGACAAATACTGATCTAGTTCCATATTGCCACTAAGAGTACAGATTTGACGTACAAACGAATAACAATCAGAACACAGCTTCAAGTGTAATAGAGAAAAACAAGTATAACAACAACATAAACAAACAACTATCACTACTCAATACCTTATCTACAAAAACTGCTCGAAAATATCTCCACCATGTTGAATACACAGCCGTAGTCTTTGGATAAATGACCGTTGCACATCCCTCAGCATGTGTTCCCTTATGTTCAGAAAAGCATCCTTAATCCCTTCCTTCATATTTTTGGGGGTAGCTGGTGGATATCTATAAAGCTTTTGCTTGACGTAGCCCCATAGAAAGAAGTCTATCGGTGTTATATCTGGTGATCTAGGAGGCCAAGATATAGGTCCATCACGACCGATCCAACGATTGTTACTCCAGGTGTCCAAATAGTTACGCACACGATTATGATAATGCGGAGGTGCGCCGTCATGCTGGAAGTGCATATGCATCCGAGTTTGCAGGTTGACATCCTCCAAAACCAAAGGCAAATGCTCGATCAAAGAATTCAAGTATTCTGTACCTGTTAATCTGTTGTCGAAAAAGAAAGGCCCGATAACTTATCTGCCAGTAACTACTTCCGGCCTTGGATGTGGCATATTAGGGTACCGTTGCTTATAAATGCGAGATGCTAGAAAACTTATTTCTTTGGGCTTCGCCCAAAGCAAACACTATATTCACCATTTCTTCTTTAGGAAAATTCATTTTCAAACACGTTTTTATTATAATGTTCACAAAGCTAATGTTGACAGTTTGCAACTGATCAACAATTTATTTGTTTCCGAGGATGATGTGATATTTTAGGGAATTAAGCCATTCCATAAAAGACTAATAACCGAAGAAATAGCCGTAAAAACCCTTATGTGTCTAGTATCAAAAAAAGGCTTATAAAAAATTGAATCCAAACTTGCACAAATATACAGGGTGATCCATTTGAAATATTTGAGAAAAACTACGCATTTCTGACCACCTTGTATGAGTAAAAAATAAAATTCGAAAAAGTAACAAATAAGATAAACGATGAGGTCTGTAAGTTTTTTTTGATACAAAATGCAGCACTACAAATTTCAAAATGGCGGACTGAGGGGTTGCCGAATTGGGGGTTTTTTCTAGACAAAACACCTTATATCTCTGTAGCTAATTACCAAAACCCCATAGTATATTTTATCAATTGTATTCTTTTGAAATGGTTTACCGAAATATGCAATAAAATTTTCGGCATACCATTTTAAAAATCACAACTTTGATATGTAGGTGGTAATTGAGACAGCCTGTATAATGGCCAATATTTTAGAAATGTAACCTCAAAGGTCATGTATAGCATCCCATAAATAGATTTTCCCAAAATGTATTTGTTAATGAGTAATATTCCGTCCGCACATGGATAGGCCACCCTGTAAATAATAATATAATATGAACTCTTTGTAATTAAAAATTATTTTCTACTTTTTAGTTCGGTTAGCTATAAAAGCGAGTTTTTTAGTTTTATAAATAATTATTCATTGCAAAAATCGGAGGCTAGAAAGCAATTATCAAATCAAATATCATGGTTGTTCTGAAATAAACAAACAAACTGGTTTTGAGGTGTCATTGACCAAGAAAGATACTAGGTTAAGCCAGCCAGCCAAATGTCAATTGTTTAATTGTTTTTACATCCGTTACGACAAATTTTGATCAGCCCTTGTCGGTCTTTCCTGCCAGAAGTATGAGATTCTCCGGAAGGGTGCTGTTACGCGGAAGTGTGACTTCTAACTTCATGATGTCAGAAGTTATTCGTGAAACTTTTATCCTCTAGATGATTAACTTTTAGGGCTCTACGTCAGAAGTCACATATTTACTATAGTTTCAAAAATTGTTAGTTTTAAATACATTTTTTCTAACCTTGAATAACAGGCATTCTTCTCTAGATATTTGTCAAAGACTAGTTATTATACCGTGTTTAAGACAAAGGTTCCCCACTAGTTCTGTGTGGGTTAGTTAAAATGTGCAGTATGTATTTAATTAAACAAAATTGATATATTTGTGTTTTTTGAAATAGTAGCAAGAAAACTGGTTGTTGAGTCAGGTGCATGCGACTCAATGCAAAAACATTCAATTTCGATAGTCTGCCAGTTCGCCGTATTCAAAGGTGTTGGTCTGAATTCTAGGATTATAAAGTACTTAAGAGGAGCATCAAAAGATTCCAAATGTCGCTCGGCCCCGATCTTAAAATGTTCAGCTGCCACTTTATCGTTAAAATATGGAATTCATACATCAACTTGATTGATTGATAAAAAAATAAAAAGCCCCCGCTTTTGAAAAGCACTGTGTATTGTATATCTATGTGTATTTACTATATGAAGTCTTACTTGGATAAGCACTACTTTATAACCTTCATATCATACTCGCCAGTAGGAAGTTTGGTTTGGTGTGGGCCTGTTTGCCTGACTTGATCCAATTAATTTTTCTGTCATATATATTCGATGCTATTTTTTTCTCACAGGAGTTAACTTGTGCAGAACGTATTTCTATATGAAACCGCCTGTAGGACTTATAACTCAGAACCATTTCATAGAGGGCAACTTTAAAGGAAGTATAAAAATTCCGCTCTGCATATTTCAAATTAAAGGGGGTGTCAAAGGTGAGATACAATAGTCTAGGAGTCTTGAGTTTATCTGACAAGAAAACTTCATAAATATGAACAGGGTGGTAGACTTATTGCCTTAAACTTTTTTTTTTGATGAAAAGTATTCATCTATGAGCAAATTTGATGTCTTAGTCTCCTCTCTTCCGACTTAAATATTTTACGTTACGTTCGAGGCAGTCAGTATACGTATGTGAAGTGATACTTACATAAAAACACTAAGTAGGATGCTGAATGACATATGAACTTGATGAAGGGTTTACGCATGGTCTGCCCAATCACAGAATGTGGCGCCACAATATAAGCGGCGCTGAAGAACGGGAACAGGATGCCGATGCGGACGATTTCGAAAGCCTGCAGCACCATGTTCTTGCGTCGGAAGCCCGGTAAGCCTTCATACCAGATGGAGGCCAGCAGTTGTTGGACGTTTGAATGAGCCACAAACTGAAACAAAAATGAAACTGAATATTGATACAGAAAATGTATTGCTGGGTGGTTAGCAAACATCTATTGACATGTCGAAGCTTTGAACTTTGGGATCGAATTTTAGCAAATTCGTTTTTGGAAAGGACTACTCCTAGTAGATCTTTTTCGCTGTTTAGATATTTTTTTGCAACTGCCTGTTTGGAGCAGTATTCTAAATAATTTTTTCTGATGAGTTCATGGTGTGTATAGAGATGGCTAAAAAACAATGCTACCAATAAATACATTCTTTTTCATTTTGTCTTCAATCGTAACTTGTTAACTACCACAACCCGGAAATTGTATGTGACATCGAACTTTTATAGGAGAATGAAGCCGGTTATTAATTTTACTTTGTTATTAGTTATACTCCGATTTCAAAAACATTTTACTTGAATCTATTAAACTAGCTTAATTAAGCCAAAAGGCAACCGTCTAATCGAAGGTGTTCAACCGTTTAATTAAATTGAGTACACCATTATACTTAAAATTGATGAAGTGTTTAAATGAGCTTACATATTTCCAGCAAAACAATCTAAGTGTATTTATTAAATTTGTTTGATTAATGTATGTAAAAGAATCTGCGTCATCTTAGTGAATTACTTTATTCAGATTTAAAAGTATATTTGGATATTTGGAATTCTAAAGAGCAAATTGAATTTATCGAATTCGAATGTATATTATAACTGTGATCTGACAAATCTAAGACATCAGAAAAAGAAGGAAAACTTGATCATGTGTATAAAATTTATGCATTTATTTTATATATTTATTTATACTCTACCCAACAGCTACAAAGCCAATTACAGAGTAGGACAAAGTCCAAATATCAAAAATTCACAATATCTTACATAATACACACAAATGTAGGAAGTTAATAAGTTAATAAAAAATGAAATATCAAATAGCAGACAAGACATCATAAGGAACCACGCAGCAGACAAGACATCAGAGAAATATATCTAATTGGTCCGCAATGTCATTCGCTTTACCACATGAGCTATACAATGGAGAAAACTTTAAAATATTTGTTCTAGGAGTAGGCAAATACAAGGTATTGCATTTTCTAGCATGCAAACGCGGGACAAGGAAATTAAAATCATGCAATATATTGCAACAATCAATACGATTGTGCAATATATCAGTCCCGAACTTAACACTGCACTTATCAAACCTCTCCCTAAGACTTTGAAAATCGAAAGCTTCTTCTAAAGACTCTTGTGGATAGCCTATCGATGGGTAGATGCCATTTCCTTAAATTAAAGGTACTTCAAAAGACGCTGTTGGATATTTTCGAGTTTGTCTATCCAGAAGCAGTAGGAAGGCTGCCAAATAATTGCCGCATATTCAAGCTTCGATCTTACAAGGCATGATTGAGTAATCAAGTTATTGAAGCGATGATGATTTCACTTTTTGTCGAAAGGCTGGTGTGAGTATTATTTATACAATTTTGGTAGATAAAAATATATATGATAAGAGCATTGTAGAGGAAACTGAGTTGGAATGGGACTGTTGAATACTGCGGTATCCTGATTTCTATTTCTAAGTGGTCTAGAATGAATAATAATAATAATAAATCGTCTTTATTTAGGGGGCGAAGTTTAGCATAATGCTACTCTGCCACTTAGCAGTCCGACTCGATTTGTGAATTTTGCATATGGATCTCCGCTTTCACCCCTACAAATTGGCCATTGTGCAACAGTTACAAACCCGAAGATTATGCACCACGAATGAACTTCGCCCGTCAGATGGAAGCGATGTTCATTGGTCTCCTCGGTCCCCAGATTTATCCATATGCATTTTTTTCTTATGGGGACACTCCAATGCTAGAGTATACACGAACAAGCCCCGAACTCTGGGCGAATTGAAAGGCGAAATTCGCGTGGAAGTCGTCCAAGTTAAGAGAGCGATGTTGGAGACGGTCTACGCGAACTTCCAAGAACGCCTCCAGCACTGGAGGATTTAAAAGTATAAAATTGTAACAGTCATACAAAGCAACGGAATGCTATATTTGAAATATTTTTGTGTGGGGTGACAGATAAACTTTATCAACTAATTTATATACTTCTATTCAAAATAAATTTCTTCATATGTCTTTTAAATTCATCGTATAATAGCAATTTTGTGGATCGAGGAAGAGCATCGTAAAACATAATTGCGTTGTAGGTGACGCATTTACGAAAGAATGATGTCTACTAATAGATGTTATATCTTCATTTACCTCAGATTCAGCATTTCGAATATCGTGATTATGGAAATGACTGTAGATCTGTGAATCGTCGGCAAAGAATTGGATATTAAAATATTTAACAACTGGATGGAGATCAGAAATATACAAAATGAATAGGAGTGTTCCAAGTACAGACCCTTGAGGCACTCCGGACGAAATGATCATATGTTGATCCCAGGCTCTAACAATGTTATCGGTTAAGTCTAATAGGGCACCTGCAGTGTTATATCCTTTTCGATAACCGCATTGTTTGGGAGGCAAAATTTTATGTTTAGAGAGATACTCGTGATTTTTGCCGTACATTGCTTTTTCTAATAATTTGGACAAAACAGGTAAAATACTAATTGGTCTTAAATCAGAATATAATTTTGGCTTACTTATTTTAGCTAGAGGTAACACTAATGCTTCTTTTCATGATTCTGGACAGGTATTTATGATGTGTAAAATGTGACCCGAAATCGCAGAGAAGCATAGTTTTAGCATTCTGAGTGACACGCCATCGGTTCCTAAGGCATTCGATTTCAGAGACTGGAACATCGATTTTAAATCAGGTATATCGATTGGTTGAATCGATCACGAGAATAGTGATTCTTTTCATAATGCTCAATCTGCTCTGTGCATGAACAAATGGCATTATTAAAAATGGAGCAGAAATAACTATTAATGTCAGTAGGGTTCTTTAAATGTAGAGGAATATCGGTATTTTGTGACTGTTGGATACGCATTGATTTTAAGGATCTATAATACAATTTTGAATCATTTGACTTAAAGTTGAATTTCTGAGCTCTTTGTGGCAATTCCAGGAATCTTCTGTCTTATTAATTTTAAACTGATTTAAAGCTCTGCCTCTGTCTTTCATCATACGTTTAAGCTGGGATGATAGCATGCGGCTTATTTACACTTACAATTCTTAGAGGTGCATGCTTATCGAAAATTAATTTTAGCCCATCTGTCAAATATGAAATTTCATGATCAATACTATCTACGGAATATATAATGTTCCAGGGAAAGTTTAAAATATCATTTTGAAATGATGAAATATCAAAATTTTTAGTCTCTTGAATTTAACGAATTCTCGCTTAGGTTTCTTAGACTGCAAAATTGTTTCACAAAATACTAAAAAATGATAGGTAAATAAATCCATATTTATAGGAGCAGAATTTGAACAGACTTGAAGATTATTGATAAATATGGGATCCAGTAGGCTGCTCGAAGTACTAGTTATTCTAGAGGGTTCTATAATAACTTGATGGAATCCATATGCATTAAAACAATTTTCTAATTTGTTTTCTGAACTTATATTCATATCTAAAATATCATTGTTAAAAGAAATCTGTTTCGCAAGTAAAGCGGTTTAGACGTAAGTAACAATTTAAGGATAAACATTCAGTAGTTATATTTAACCAAAACATTTATTTTCAACCAATTGAGTATTGGATATTTTGCTGATACATGATCAAATTTGCGGAGTCCAAAAAATAAAACGAACATAATTATTTTGGATGATTTGAATTAGGTTTTTGGTATAGCTGTCTAAATATAGGTAGTATACTATATTTCAGAAGTTTATAACAGATATGGCCAAGGATTCACATAATTTCGTACATAACTGGAAGACATTTGTTTGCAATCAGAGTGCTTAGACAGATAAGCTTTCTGGGAAATACTTTTAATATGTTGGATAAATCTTATTTTTGTGTCTAAAATAGAGTTCCCCAAACTTTTTTGTGTCGTAGACCCCTTGTCATGTTTTTCCGTATTGGGTAGGTCCCCTACTTACCTGATATTGATTTCCTGTAAATTTCTAACTGTAGTGAAGTTTAGTGTTAAAAACTTAAAGTAAAAACACATGTTAATTTATTCATTTATTAATTGAATTTAAATTAAAACTACTCAAAATTAAATTTTGCATCTGTTATGTAAAATATACGTAACATTAAATAAACAGGTGTCTGACCAATAAGTGCCAGCATTGAACAAAAAAATAAGAGGGATAAAATGAAAAAAAGTGAAAAATAATAAAAAAAAGTTTTTTACTTAAATTAGTACAATAAGCGAGTTCGTTTATTAATTATAACATAAACGTATGTTCTACAATAATTTCGCTGTTAGTTTGATTAAATTCCGCTTCTTATACGTTTAAGTTATCTAAAAATAGGCAAAAAATTAACGGATTTTAGTGTGTACCTATCCTTGAATTTTCAGAATAATTTAAAAAAAATATTTTCTATAAAGGGGGGTTCTTTAAAAAAATCAATGCGGGCACTTATTCCCAATGCGGGCATTTATTGGTCAGACACCAATAAACATAAACTATAGATAAAATAACATAAGCAATAACTCAATATTTTTAGTGAGAAGGATGAACCTGATGCTCTAATAATAAATTATCAACATTTAGCGTCAATTTTGTAAGGGTTAATCTTAAATCTCCTCGGCTAATGATGTCCAGTCTGTTTCTTTTTTTCGTTAGGAGATTGGTAACAGTGCCCCCTTTCCACTAGGTATGACGATGGAAAGGAAATTAAAAATTTCCTCGCTATATTCCATAATACGGGATAAGTAACGGATATGTTCTTTTGCAGCCAGAATTGCTTATATCCGTTTTTAAACTGAACCTTAAGTTCTTCGTTTGTACTTAGTTCAGTCAGTTCCTCTTGTATTATGACATTCGTTTCTTCTATGTCACCATATATTATCCACGGTGGTATTACCATCAAAATATCCTCAAACCTAGATTCAAAATATGAATAGAGGGCATTTAAATGTTGAACGTAAGATGAAACGTCGTCTTCCTGGCAGCTTGTCTGAGACA